GTTACGGTCTTCATATTTCAAGCGAAATCTGTATTAAGACGGTTCGCCCAAATAAAGTAGAAAAACTTGGAACGGGCAATAGGGCGTGGGGGTGGGTAGCGAGAGTTTCCAGGTAGCTTATTTCTAGAGTTAAAAAAAAAAAAGCACTCAAAATATTCTTCCTATTAAATGCTGGGTTGGAAATGCAATTTAATTGTGTCCTTTATGTTTCCTTAACTCCTATGTTCAAGTGGGAGGGCAAACAGGAGAAATCCCATCTTGCAGACTTCGCCAAAATGCGCACTTCTAACGCAAGAGGCCCGGGCCCTCCCACTCTCCCTCCTTCATCCCCAAATGCGTTTAAACACAGAGGAGGAAGCGGGGTGCAAAAGAGGGGGGCCCCCAACAGTTGCCACCCCTCGCCTCCGATCGCGCCCTTTCTCTCCACAGTTAATTTCTGCGCGAGGTGCACGGCTGAGAACCTTCTTCGGTGTGCATCTGGAGGTGGAGTACGGGGGGGGGGGGGGGTGTGGAGGAGAAGAACTCTTCTCCCACCGAGGGGGGAAAAGGAAGAGGAGGGAAAGGAAGGAAGGGGGCGCAGGATTACCCGAGGGCCCTCCTACGCTCGCACCAGGAGCGTGCAGGGCCCGAGCGTCCCGCGCTCGGACCACCCTTTCCAGGGCGACGCCGAGCCAGCCGGGGCGCAGCCCACACACCCGCGGGGGCGCCGCGGGGGCGCCGAGACACGAGTCGCCGACCCAGGAAAAAGGGTCCACTCACCGCAGCAAGCCGAGCCCAGCAGCAGCACCACCAGGGGCCACATCGCGGCCGCCGTGGGGTCGCCGCCGGCGCCGCCGCAGGTGTCTGGAGCAGCCACCGAAGCAGTCACAGGCAGGATCTGCCGCCACCGCCGTCACAAGCAGGACCGGCCGCCGCCGTCCGTCACTGGCAGGACCCGCCGCCCAGGCTGCCTGGCCGTGCGCACGCGCGCTCCTGCCACCCCCCCCCCCCCCCGTTCCCGCTCGCTCCCCTCCCACCCTCCCGCTCTCCCGCCGCGCGATACGCGCACGCGCACTCGCCCCCGCCCCGCCGCCGGGGCTGTTGACGCGAAGCCCTTCGGCTTTGCGGGCTCGAGTCCGCGCTCCGGTCTGCTCCGACGAGGTCTGGATCCCGCTCCCCCGCAATGGCACGCGCCGGACTTGCGGGTCACGTCCCGCCACCCTCCACTCCCCACCCCCACGGTGTATTCGCCAGCCGCCACAGGAGGCTGAGCGTGTGTTCCTACGTTTACCCGGGACCTCCTCGCCCCCGCCCTCTCCGCGGTTCTCTCGGGCCTCTCACACCACCCAGGGCCCCGTGCCCTCCTTGCAACGGTCCTCTTCCGCTCTCACGCCCACCGTCACGCTTCGGGAGCGCCGCCTGGCGCTGCGCTCCCAGACCTGGGCGTCTCCGCCCACAAGAGCCCCTCCTGCCGCGTCCTCGCCCGAACCTGTGCCTGCGCCCCCTAATTGCCGCCTCGGCCCCCCCACCCCTCAACGCGAGCGCACTCGCGTAGGGGCGTCGCTACGCTTCCCGACAGTCTGGGAGCCCGGGGCGCCTCTCTGAGTGTTGGGCGAGGGGGCGGGCCTGTCTGCGGCGAGGTCCCGCTCGCCCTCTTGGGCGCCGCTTCGGTCCACCTGCCCCACAAGCTTTTGTTTCCGGTGCGGTTGTGGGCTCCCCTCGCGCTTTCTCGCCTTGTTCTTTAGTGTGTTTCTCCTCTGAACAGGGTTCCTCCAGCACCTTCCTTCGTGGTGGTAAACATCTTCAGGTGTGGTTGACGCCAAGCCCCCAGGTTCAGTCAGGCACGGTTGTAAACGTTGGCTGACACACTCAAGACGTCCCTTCCCAGGATCCTCAATTGAGCCTGGTGAGTGACCCCAACTCCTGCAGCCCGCTACACCGTTCGGGGTTAGCGTGCTTGAAAAATGGGTTCAAAATGTGGACAAGGCCTTTGACTGTGTCATTGAATCATCATCCTTCGTCCTGAAGCGAAAGCCCTTTTACAACACTTAACCCTAAATGGTGACACTTAACCCTAATGGTGAACTAACTCCTTAGTTAGTTACTACTCCTGAGTGTAACCCAGGTAACACTTAACCCTAAATGGTGAACTAACTCCTTAAAGAGTCCGGCTCCGGTGGCTACCTTAATGGGGTGCATATATGTCTGCTCCCCTTGGTTGTTTTTCTCTTATCCGCTGGAAAGGAAAGCAGTTTCTCACCACAGTATCCTGCTTCTCCAAAGCCTCTACCCGTGATGTCTCTTCCATTGCACCCCATCCCTGTCGTAATAAAATCCAGGAAATAACAATTGCCACCCCCGCCCCCCGACACTGTAGCAGTATATTGTATACGTGTGTAACTTTTTTCTATAATAATTATTATTTTTTTGGTCTGGACCTCTTGTGCACAGCATTATCGATTCTTTCAGAGAATATTTTAAGTATTTCCTCCAAGACTTCCTATCGAACTGTGAAAACAGAAGGGGTTTAATAAATGTGTTGATGTGACTTGAGGCAAGCATTCTTCCAGTGAAATTTGTTTTTTAATGATTAGAAAAAAAAGAAAAACAGTTGCCTAGCAGATATCTCACTAAAATAATGGTTAATAATTATGGTGGTAATGATTTGAATGGCAGCCTTGACACCCTGAGGCTACCAAAGGGACTGATGGATTCTCCTCCAACTGCTGCTTATATGGATACAAAAGAATCATCCACCAGACTTTGAGCATTCGGGACATTGTGTATCACAGAGCAGCTGGTTGGCTAAATAAGGCTGTCAGCTGTCCCTGAGACCAACCGACCCCCCTAAAGCTGAAGAGTGACTGGGAAGGACTGTCCCCAATCTTCAGAGGTAGAGATTGAGGGATACTCTGTTTCATACTAGGAGCTGCCGAGGCTATGAGCTTAGTGTAGCTGTGTGCAGAAAATGCAGTAGGCTCATGTCAGGTGAATGAGAGGCCACCTGGGTGACTATTTCTACTCTTGGGAATGTGTTTTGATGGTGAAGCAAGAGGAGGCCTTTTCCAGAGATAGAATCCAAATCTCTCTTAGATAACCTTGGGCTCTTCTCTCCAGTATCTAACCGCTTTACATTTATGTTTCCCTTTTAGTGCTCCCAAACCTTTTTATTTGGATTTTGAGCTCATCTTATCTTTACATAAGGGATTTTTTTTGGGGGGGGGGGGCGTGGAGGGGAGGGTGGAAGGCAAGGGAGTAATACACATTAGAATGTTTTAAACAGAGGTAATACACATTAGATTTATCACCTAAATTAGTCTTCATAACAGCCTTGGAACAGATATTATGATCTCCATTTTAGCAATGAAGAAACAAGGGTAGAGAGAGATAATGAGCATTTTGTCCACACTTATATGTGATAATTCCTCTCTGTCTCTCATTTATGTCTATCTCCCTTGTCCTTTTTCTGTCTCTTCCAAGAAGCCTTTCCCAAATGCTACTTTTCCTCTTTCCTATAATTCTCCACCACTTAAAGGATTTAATTACCGCTTCCATCATACTTTGTTCATGCTGCTAATAAAATATATCAATACATCTTTCTACATATCTGTCTCCTCTTCTATCATGTCAGCTAGGAGAAAATGAATTTTTTCCTGGGTATATTTGCATCTCCAGGGCCTGGCACAGTGCCTGGTTGAGACCTAAAGAAATCAGTGTGGTATGTAGTATATAGAAAACTTTAGTCTAGCTTTGAGTTACAGCTCCAGCCATGTATTACCAGGTAACCTTAGACAAGTTACTTAAACTTTCTGAGCCCTAGTTTCTTCATTTGTAAAGCTAGATGATAAAGATAATAGAAATTAAATCTTCAAATTGCCTTAACAGTGTAATAAGTGAACACTTTACACTTATATTAAACAGTGCCTGGTGTACAGTAAGCACACAATACTAGCTCTTAATATTATAGTCTCCTTATAGTGAGATGGTTCTCCTAGAATAGAAATGAAAATTATTATCAAAAGGATCACCAGTTGCTGGTCTGGAGCCTTGAAGAAGTACTGGGACTTGGCAAAATGTCTACATTTGATTCAAGCTAGAGGCACATGTCTGTGCCCAGTGGGTAGCCCTTAATCCTCTTGCTTTTCTGAACACTTTGTTAGTGATTGAATGCCGAGTGGCCCACATCTCTGACACCTGGCTCAGGGCCCAGTGTCCTAGGATGTTATTTCAACTTGACCTAGTTATTAAAGCATAGGAGCTCCAGTCATCAAATAAAGCGATGTAGCAAGGAGAGTCTGTGCTCTCTGGTTAAGGACTAGGTTTGGATGGTTAGGCAGCTGGGAGATATTGACATGTGGTTGGAGAGATGGATTTGGCTTAGGGGGACAGAAGGAAGGCTTTAGCAGCAGGAAATGCTCTTCATCCTTGCTTGTGCTTCAATTAGGAGCAAATATTAGGAACAGAAACTGCCTCCATATACAAGGATGGCAGGACTTAATGGTTCCAGGTGAGAAGTATGCTACCAGAGTGCTGACAGTTGGCTCTGGTGTAACTTTCCTTCTGGATGTCAGATGTGCACAGGTGTGTTTTACTTAAGTCAGGGGAAACAGCATTTCCTTCTCCTCTTCCTCCCCCTCTCCTCCTCCTCCTCCTCCTCCTCCTCCTCCTCCTCCTCCTGTTCTTGCTGCTGCTGCTGCTGCTGCTGCTGCTGCTGCTGCTGGAGGCTACCCATGTAGGGGGCCCACACATGACAGCTGGAAAGCACGAGAGAAAGCCAGCTTCTGGGTTAGGTTGTAAAATCACAGCAGGCTTATTTCTTTGAGAGCATGTAATGTTTGGGGTCCTGGGAAGGCCCCTCTGTATCTTGCCTAACTCTGCCCTTTGATGGCAGATAACATACATGTAGTGGGTACATACTATGCACCAAGACCTCACTGTGCTAATGCATTTATTTTCTATTGCTGGCAGAACAAACTAACACAAATTTAGGGGCTTAAAACGACACTCATTTATTATCTTACAGTTCTGTAGGACAGAAGTCCACTGGACTCCGCTGGTTTCTTGGCTTCCGGTCTCACAGGGCTAAAATCAAGGCGTTGCCTGGGCTGCTTTCCCTTCTGGAGGCTCTAGGGGAGAATCCATTTCCAGGTTTATTTGGGTGGTTGGCAGAGTTCAGTGTCTGAGGTCCCCATTTTCTTGCCGGCTGCCATCTGGGGTTAGGGGGGCTGCTTACCATCTAGAGGCCTCTTTGGGGTCATTGTGTGTAGTTGCATGTGGTCTCTGAACATCTCAGAGCTAGCAGTGGTACATTAAATCCTTCTTATGTTATCACGTTTCTTCTGCCTCCCCTTCCTCTGCCACATTTCTATGACTGACTTTTCTGCCTTCCTCTTCTACTTTTATAAGTGCTCAAGTGATTAGATTGGACCCCTCAGTAATCCAGGATAATCTCCCTATTTTAAGGTCTGTAACCTTAATCACATCCACAAACTCTCTTTTGCTATGTAAGGCAACATATTCACAAATTCCCAGGAATTAGAGTTTGACAATCTTTGGGAGGCATTATTGTGTGTACCATAGTTAGGTTCTTTTCATATTTATTCCCTTTATCTTTGTAACAGCTCAGTAAGGGAAGCGTTGTTCATATCCATTGTGTATGTGAAGAAACTGAGCTCCAGAGAGGTTTGTATCACAGGTGACTTACTTTGCCCAGTGGATTAGTTTTCTTAGGTCTACCCTAAAACCAAAAAACGAGGAGACTTAAGAAAAATGTATTCTCTCCTAGTTCTGGAGGCTCAAAGTCTGAAAAGAAGGTGTCAACAGATCCATGCTCTGTCTGAAGTCCTCGATAAGAATCCTTCCTTGCCTCTTCCTAGCTCTTGGTGGATCCCGACAGTCCTTGGAGTTCCTTGGCTTGAGCTGCAACACTCCAATCTCTGACTCCGTCTTCACATGGCCTTTAATATCTCTATGTCCCTCTTCTTTCTAAATTTTTTTTGACATTTATTCATACAGAAACAGAGTCCAAGCAGGGGAGGGGCAGAGAGAGAGAGAGGGAGACACAGAATCTGAAGCAGGCTCCAGGCTCTGAGCTGTCAGCACAGAGCAGAGCCCGACACGGGGCTCGAACAAATGAACTGCGAGATCGTGACCTGAGCTGAAGTCAGACACTCAACCAACTAAGCCACCCAGGTGCCCCGTCCCTCTTCTTATAAGGAGACCAGTCATTTGATTTAGGGTCCACCCTAATTACAGTGTTATTTCCAAATACTTAACTAAATACACCTGCAAAGTTTCCTGTTTCAAAATAAGGACACAGTCTGAAGATCCAGGAACGGGCATGAATTTTGAGGGGATACTATTCAACCCACTGTAGCCAGTAAAGTGTATTACTTCTGGACAAAAGCATAAAACCTAGCATGTAATTTGCCACTCTTTCTTTCCCTACATCATGGCAATCAGCAATGCTCCAGACAGTGTCTGCTCTGTCGGCCTGGGCCCTAGAGTAAGGATGAGGCAAAGCAGAGCTCTGGCTGACCTACAAAGAACGTACAACGAGAATAGAAATAAATGTGTCATCTCTCCTGACAGATACCATCTACAGCATTTAATGACATAGTCCAGCCCTTCAGAAATATTCCCAGCAGCTAAGGCAGCTCCCCACTTCCTTGTTTGTATACAAAAATACCCTTGAATACTGGCATTAGCCAAAACCACTCTGAGGCCTCACTGTACCTCTTAGTCCCAGCTCCACTGGCAACGTTTTACTGCACTATTGTTCCTCTATGGAGCAAGGTGTAGAAAGAAATAGATTTCAAAGACTGCCTTTTGTATCCTTAGAGGGGCAAGTTTTCTAGGAAAAGAAAGAGTAAAGGCTAGAGCATATGAATGTCCTTTGAAATTAGCTGCAGAGTAGCTGTCTGCATGTCAGGCTGATAGTCTCCTCTCCAGTTTCAGAAGAGTTCCCCACCTGCAGCAGCCAGGAATGTCTGTTGAGAAAGCTTTGTTCTCTGCCTAAACAGTGCTCTCTAGGTGTGCTCTCCCTTGCCCGTCCATGGCCACTTGTGCAAAATTACTCAAGACACTGTGCTTCGTCGAGTTTGCTTATTGATGCTACATGAGTTCTCAGCGTGCATCTGCCAATCTGCTCTTCCCTAATACTGGTCTAATTGCTATGGGTGTGGGCCAGCGGACTCAAACTATCATCAGATGGGCTTTAAAAGTGAAGTGGATAAACTAGGATCAAACTGCCAGACAAGACAGATGTACATATTTGGAATCATGAGAAAGGTTGCCTGATTCCATGTGCCCGTAACCTCACTTACTTGTCTGTCTTGAATGGCAGCCTGGACTTGAAGGCTCCCATGTGCCAAGTGCTATTGTTGCAGCTGCAACTTCTACCTTCTCTTCCCCAACCACAGGCCCCATGAACAACAACAGTAGGAGGAAAGGAAAATGTTATAGAAACACTATGCTTATAGGAGTAGTTCTCCAAGTGTGGTACCTGCATCAGCAACAGTTGTAGCCACTGAGAGCTTGTTAGAAATGCAAATCCTTGAGCTCTATCCTGAAACCTACCAAACCAGAAACTCTGGTGTGGGACCTAGCAATCACTGTTTCAGGGAGTCTTCCGGGCCTTTCTGGTTTATACTAAAATATGAGAACCACTGGCTTCAGGCCTGACCTTGGAAGTCCGGTGCTCCTCCTAGGAGATAATCCATCTTGGTAAAAATGTCATCGGTGCCTCTGTCTCCTTGGATTTGGTGGGTACAGTGTAGAATCCCTGGCAACCCCAGTTGTCTCTTGGCCCACTGGGTGTTTTGTATTAGCTGCAGGTTTCTCTAACATCTTATGGTGAAAGAGCACATGCACTACGTCCGTACTGATAGAAACCAAAGTGTGCTTCAGAGTGACTTGAGGATCACTTTAGTTCTATAGTTGGTGGGTTTACAAGTAGTTTAAGAAATTGGTTTCATGGTAGTTTACAAGCTGCCTTTTTTGTGTGCGCATCCAGATATTTAGTATGTGAAATCTGGGCTAATGTCTTGTGAGTTTCCACTTACAAGATGCCATTTTTTAATAAATTCATTTATTTAAATTCAAGTTAGCTAACATACAGTGTAGTATTGGTTTCAGGAGTAGAACCCAGTGGTTCATCACTTACGTATAATATCCAGTACTCATCCCAACAAGTCCCAATAAGTGCCCTCCTTAATGCCCATCACCCATTTAACCCATCCCCCAACCTAATACCCCTCCAGCAATCCTTAATTTGTTCTCTGTATTTAAGAGTCTATTATGGTTTGCTTCCCTTTCCATTTTTATCTTATTTTTCCTTCCTTTCCCCTATGTTCATCTTTTGTGTTTCTTAAATTCCATGTTTGAATGAAATCAGATGATATTTATCTTTGACTGACTTATTTTACTCAGCATAGTACCCTCTAGTTCCATCCAGTAGTTGCAAATGGCAAGATTGCATTCCTTCAATCACTGAGTAGTATTCCCGTGTGTGTGTGTGTGTGTGTGTGTCTGTGTGTGTATGTGCATGTGCATGTGTGTATGTATACCACACCTTTATCCATTCATCAATCAGTGGACATTTGGGCTATTTCCATAATTTGGCTATTGTTGATAGTGCTGCTATTAACATTGGGGTGCATATGCCACTTTGAATCAGCATTTTTGTGATTTTGGATAAATACCTAGTAGTGCAATTGCTGGGTTGTAGGGTAGTTCTATTTTTAATTTTTCGAGGAAGCTCCATACTGTTTTCCAGAGTGGCTGCACCAGTTTGCATTCTTACCAACAGTGCAAAAGGGTTCCCCTTTCTCCGCATCTTCACCAACATCTGTTGTTTCCTGAGTTGTTAATTTTAGCCATACAAGATGCCATTTTGATAAAAATGTAGAAATTTTCATATAGTCACATAAATGTGTCTCTTTGTCTAGAGAAGGAAGTAAATGAAACCAAGGATTCCCTGGAGGAATGACAAATCAATACCCATTTCACCAGATGACAGATTCAGAGGCACCTATGTGGTGGTATGTGGAATAGGGGAGAAATGAGTCATGCTCTATCATAATTCAAAAGAAAATTATTTGTTCGTTTTCAAAAATCACGTGGGCTAGATCACCTGCAGCTGGTTCTGATAAACTAAGATAAAAGGGTCATCTAAATCTGCTCTGTACTAAAAAGGTAAGCAGCATTCTTGCCCATAGGTGTGCATGAATGCTCCTTCCTCTGGAGATGTTAGAAGGGTTTCTGATGGACAGATCAGTCAGATTTGGTAATGGATATATTCCTCCTCTTCAGTTGTATAGATGATTCTCTTAATTTTGTCTGGCAGTACTGGATTGCCTAAGAAAATCTGCTTTCCTTGCATACTACTCTTATGAAACAAATTTGTTATTGCTGCTGGTATTATTTTTTCGTGTAAAGGTTGCACTTCTCAATCTTTTCCTCCTTTGTACTCTCAGAACCCACACTGTGTTTTGAAGCATTGTAAGTATGGCCCCAGAAGACCAATGGAACATGCTTGTAATTTGTGCTCCAATAGTCATCCGCTTTCCCTGTCTCACCTCTTTGGGGGCTGAATACTATGCCTACCCAGCTTCCTTTTCCTCCCCAAGCAGTGGCTTTGTGCCAGTGGGACCACAAGTTAGATGAAAAGCTATCAAAGCACTAAGGGAAGAAATCGATAGTAATATATGTAAGTGTGCACATATATCACAAGTGACAGTCTCATTTCCATGCAAGTTAAGATGTTCTCAGTGCCTCTAATTGACACCCTGTGTATCTGGGTGCACACATAGTCTGATGGGGATATACATGGCTGGATTCATCTTATAGAGGCAAAGTGGACAGCTGCCGATGGGCTGTGATTTGATTTTGCTGGAGGGACCTTTCCATGACTACCCTAGCTGGCCCAGGCCTTTTGCCTGCTGGGAATTCCCACATCACTGGTCGCTTTGGATTGAGGCACTGAAAGTTGTTTAAATGCAAATTATTTTCTAGGAGGTAGAGACATTATTATTCATTAATATTTGGGCTTTAATGAGTTTATAAGCTTAGACGAGAACAGGCCAGAGTCTTTTGGTAATAGAAGCCAGAGAGATATGTTTTAATGATGATAGGCAGAACAGAAAAGACTGAGATCTGAAATGCTACAGAAACTATAGCCATAGACTTAAGGAATAGAAGAAGTATGCTAGTTACATCGTGAGAAATAAGATGGATGGAAAAGAGAAAGTAGGAAAGTGGGAAATAAAGTGCCTCCCCAAGTACAGAGGTCATTTCTGCCTAGAGCTCCTGGTGATTCTTTCTCCTAAGCAGGAGTGTTTACAGATACC